CAGGTCGAGCGTGAGAGGGAGGGAAAGGACAAGCAAGGGCGGAGAGGGCAAATTGGGTGTGATGGAGAGGAGAGGATAAGGGGAAGGGGAAGAGAAATGCAGGGTTGAGTGAGTGAAGTTTCTCTCTCTCTCTCTCTCTCTCTCTCTCTCTCTCTCTCTCTCTCTCTCTCTCTCTCTCTCTCTCTCTCTCTCTCTCTCTCTCTCTCGTTTCTTTCCGATTTGTATATTTCTCCCTCCAAGATTTTTTTTCATTATTATTATTACTAATAATGATATTAATATTACTATTACTATTAATATTATTACTCCTCCCCCCCTCCTCCCCCCTCCCCCTACATACTGCACGACAAGAATCTCCACGTGCGAGCATCGGCAACGTTCATTCAGACCCCTGTGCTGAGCCTCACCACCTCACGTCTTTGCCCAGCGCTTCAGGAGACAGGGCTCGGGCGTAACGGAATCTCGGAATCTTTATTTCTTCCCTTTCCTTGTCCTTTTTCTCTTATTTTTGGAGGGTGGGTTGGGTCTGTGGGAAAATGTTGGGGATGGTGGGAGTGCGTGTCTGGGGATGAAGCGCTGGTTTTAGCCGCCTTGGAATGCATGATCAGGTGCTGCGGCGGCCAGATGGCGATCGGACGCTGGCACTATCAGCTGGTGGCGTGGCCAGGTGCAGCCAGGGCGTTACGGTCGTTTGTGTGTCAGTCATCTGCTTGGACTTGATGCTTTCAGCCAGGTCTTTTTTCGCGTCTGTATTGAGAGTTTTTGATGTGTGAAGCGGGCAAGTTTGTGCTGCCGTGGTTTCTCCTGGACGCCAATTCCATGAGGGCGTTGGGTACGTGATGCCGGCCTTCCCTCCTTGTCTCCGGCTTGTCAAGAAAGCAGAGGTGTGAAGGCTCGCGCATCGACACCCGCTTTGTTCCGCTGCCTCAACGTCCATCTCTAACTTTATCTGCGGCTGCTGCTCTCTTCCGGCCCCGCTTGCTTCGTCCGGGTCTCCCCTGCACGGAGCACATCGGCACGGCGGTCGCGCTCCGAAGCCCGGAGGAAGGAAGGGGAAAACGAAAGGGAAGTCGGACCTTCAGCAGCGGATCCCTCCGCCGCCGCTGCTGACCTGCCTCTTGCTGAGTGACGTCACCCCGCCCCGCCAAGAGGAAGAGGCGGGAAGGGGGCGGTGCGTCCCTCGGCGAAGCGCGTTGCTCCTCTTGGCCTCGGTCGTTCCGAAGTGCCTGCTGAAGGCAGTAGCTGAAATAAAACTAGCAATTAGACTTAATAGTCATACCATTATCTTTATTCAGAGAAATGAGCGCGTGATGGACCGGGCGGGCATTCAAGTCTCGCTCCCGGTCATTTTCTGATAGTTTGTGTGGCACCCTGACTGCGAGTGCCGTGTGTGCCGCGGCATGGCAGCCCTTGTGTGAGTTACGAGGGGTACGGCTCACCTCGCCTAGCGGGAGCGTGGTGGCGGAGCTGGGGCTGCTGCTAGTGGTCGATGGTGGAGCCTGCCAGGAGGAAAACGTGTTGGCGGACCTCTATTTGTCGAGCGGGAGAGGACACATGTAGCAGCAGCAGCAGCAGCCTGGCCCTGCCTGGTGGCCCAGCCCGGCCCGCCCCGTCCCGGCGTGGTGACCCACTAACTTCCAGCAGGATTATGGATTTGTCAGAGGACTGGATGGGGTGGCGGGAAAGCTGTGCCGGCATTGTTAGCCGGTTGGGGAAGTGGGGAGGAGGAGGAACTGGAGATGATGGGCCGGGGCAAGGGAGGGGTTTGTTAGGGCAGTCAGTACGTTGTTGGGGGGAGGTAGCGGGAGGGACGAGGTGGTCGTGGTGGGGCAAGAGGTGTGGGGGGGGGAGTGGGGCGGGGGGAGGAGCAGGAGGAGGAGGAGGAGGCTGTGGGAGTCTGCAGCGAGAAACGTAAGATCAATAGACAATCACCCCAGTGGTGAGTACTTAATGGTCTTTGCCAAGTGTGTGAGGATTGGTGACTGAGACTGGAGAACATGTTGTGGGAGTGATATGGCCCGGGAGAGCGTAGTGGCAAAGATGACGGTGTATTAACGGGACGGTAATCTGCGGTGGGTGTTGTAGCGGGGTCGACCGCCAACAGCAGCGCCAGACCCCGCTACAGGGGCCGTGTGGCAGCAGCGTGTGCATGTGTCCGTTGGGGAGAGTGAGTGTGTATGTGTGTGTCTGTGTGTGAGAATGTTCGTGGCATTTGGTTGGTATCTGTCTTAAACAGAAAGGCCGCTAGATGCGTGATGATAGCCGATACTATTTGTGTGACAAGAGTTCTGGGTGGATTGTGTCCGCTCATAGCTCCATACGGTTAAAATTTTGTCGGCTTTGTCTTTGTTTAGGCCGGGAGGGCGGGAGGGCGGCCGAGCTGGCAGGCAGGCAGGATAGGCGTACGACCGAGTTTGAACGGCACTCGACCTTCACTTCCCACGGAAAAGTTCTCAAGGCTTCATTCATTCCCGACCCCTTATTGAAGAATATCGTAATGCTATAAATACTTCCCACGGGTTTCATATATTGATTTTGGGTGGAGAAGGTTTGGAGGCTATGTGTGTCAGTAGAGCAGGTGCTGCTCATTTTGGGCTATTGCTGCGTTGACTTACGGCCTGTGATTTATGCGCTGGTTTACGCACGCGCGGTGAATACTTGCTTTCGTGTTCGCTTTAATAAACACAGCCAGTTATATCCCTAATATCCCTAAAAAAAGGGTTAAACAACGAAATCTCGACTTAGATTGTAAACCCACTCCAATTTCCAGAGGCGATCTAATCTAGTTTCCTTACCATATGCTGCGCGTGGCTGGCCTTTGCTAGTGTGCATTATTAAGGACAACCTCCTTTTGATGTTGCGCCTCCATCGTTTCCAAGGAAGAACTTACCGGCCGCTGTGGTAACTCGTGCCAGCAGAGAACTAGACAGCTGGAGGAGTGAAACGATTATCATTTGGCATTTCCCTTGGTAAGTCGTTAAGAAGAGAAACGTTAAGGGTGTGGCTTTGGAGGATAAATTCAGGCGTGAAGTTTCACGGACAATTACGATAAAATTGACATTTATGGCATTGTTGATGTTTATAATTGGTTGAATAGATGATAATCATTCTTTCCTTTCTCTCTAGCATAAAACGAGGAAGTAATAGAAATCTTCCACTCTTCCTAGTCAATAACTTGGTAACAAATCAAGGCTACGTTTCCCACTCAAGAGGAATTATGATTGGACTGTAATGTTATGACATTTCTGTGCAGTCGCTTTGTGCGAATCGGTTGTTTTGTCTCGCATTATTACTGTCGCCGTTCATGCCTGTGGTTTTATGATTTTGCGGCAGTTTACTCTTCTTGTATTTTGGAATAGTACGTTCATCATTTCTATTTTTGTTCACGCTTATTGCGTCCATACTCGTCATATTCGTAAGTGATTGAAGAATTTATTGCATTGGTCTTATGGAAATTTTCTTAATTTTCAGAGGGCATTCGCGGATCTTGGGACTGGGAGAACGGCTTGTCCTATGAGTGCAGAACACTTCTTTTTAAGGCTCTGCATAACCTTATTGAAAGGTAAGGATTGTGATTTTTATGTATTTTTTTCTTTTTTAGTATGTTGATCATCAAACATGTTATAAGCTCTTTCATGATTATTAGTGTTTGTATTTCGATTATTGAAGTATAAATTTATATCAGCTATTAGTATTTGATTTACTTATAACAATTTATCTACTGTTTTTGTCAGTTTTTGCTTACTGTTGCGCTTTTTGCAGATGTCTGCGAACCCGGGACTTCGTCCGGCTGGGGCGTTGGTTTGTCCAACCCTACGAAGGCCCGGAGGGTGTTCCTGGCAACAGGAGGTGAGTGTCTTCATCTGTGGCCAGAAAAACAGATAAATATGTCCATTTTTATAAGTCAATAAGTACTATTTTTCATTGTTTTTATCAATATTTGATGTAATTTATCAGATATAACCATCTTTGTTCCCATTTCTCTAACAAGTTTTAACCATCGCCTTTGCTTTCCAGTACTCACCTGTCATTCAGTCTGTCATTCTTCGTCCATGGCGAAAGCATTGTATGTGCCAGTGTGGACGTTCGGCAACACCCACGTGTCCGACGGCTCACGCGGCGACACCTGCTTTTAGCACAGCAGTCAAATCATGGCATACCAGGTGGGTTGAAGGAAAGGCCGTGTTGCGAAATTGATATTGCCTTAGGAAGGAGTGTGGGATGGGAGATCGGAAACTTGTGGACATACCTACACACATACCCCCCCACACACACACACATATTCCCCCACCACACACACATACCCCCCCCACCACACACACACATACCCCCCACCACACACACCGCACACACACACACATACCCACACACATACCCACCAAATACACACATACCCATCCCCCCACACACACATACCCCCCACCACACATACCCCCCCACACATATACCCCCCCACATATATATACCCACCCACACACATACCCCCCCCCACACACACACATACACATACCCACCCACACACATACCCCCCCCCACACACACACACACACACACACACATACCCACACACATACCCACCAAATACACACATACCCATCCCCCCACACACACATACCCCCCACCACACATACCCCCCCACACACTTATACCCCCCCCACACACGTATACCCCCCCACATATATATACCCACATACACATACCCACCCACACACATACCCCCCCACACACACACACATACACATACCCACCCACACACATACCCCCCCCCCCACACACACACACACATACACATACCCACACACACACACAAACATACACATACCCACACACACACACACAAACATACACATACCCACACATACACACACATACCAACACACATACCCACACACATACCCACACACAAACACACATACCTACACACACACACTCACACACACACACACACACACACATATCCACATATCCACACACACACACATCCACACACATATATATATACCCACACACACATATATACCCACACACACACACACATATACCCACACACACACATATATACCCACACACACATACCCCCCCCACACACATACCCACACACACACACACCCACACACACATACCCTCCCACACACACACACGCACATACCCCCCACACACACACATACCCACACACACACACACATACCCCCCCTCACACACATACCCCCCCCCACACACACATACCCCCCCACACACACACATACCCCCCCTCACACACCATACCCCCACACACACGCATACCCACACACACACACACACACACACATACCCCCCACACACACATACCCCCCCACACACACACACCCACATACCCCCCACACACCCACATACCCCACACACACACATACCCACACACACACATACCCACACACACACATACCCACACACACACACATACCCCACCACACACACCACACACACACACATACCCACACACACACACATACCCACACACACACACATACCCACACACACACACATACCCACACACACACATACCCACACACACACACATACCCACACACACACACACACACACACACACACACACACACACACACACACACATACCCACACCCACACACATACCCACACACACACACACACTTACCCCTACCCTACCCCTACCCTTACCCTTACCCTTACCCATAATGTAAGTTAGAATGAAGCAGTCTTAGTGTATTGTAGTATTATGGCATGAGCACAGTTATTTTTAAATTACCCTTTGCTCTCTCTCCAGTTATATTGGGGCCATATGGGTTGAGTGGCACCTTGACTGGTGTGAGTTATCGGCTGTCTGAGCCATCAACACAGAAGCTGTTGGATGAGTGGAGACAATTCTTTCCTATTGAAACAAAGGCTTCACAGGGAGACTCCCCAGAACCCACTATGCCTGCAGCCGTTGAGGTTATTGTGGGTAAGTGTACATGGCAGTTGTTGAAGTGAAGAAATGTGGTAAATAAGATGCTTATCTGATAATGATCATTTACAATAAAGTCTGGAAATATGCTGATATAGACATTACTTGTATGTGTTTTGAGGGTAAGCTATTTGGTTCCAGCATTTAAGTAATTTAAAACAAAACTTCTTAATATCTGGAAGAATCTAAGCTTCTGTAGCAGAGCAGATTTTCATGGCAAGCGTTTAACATTGCAGGTGGCCACAAAATGCGTTATCCAACATGTTACACATTAGTGACAGACATGGATGACTACTTAATGGCAAGTCGTGGTGGGACAGTTGTGAATACCAATACTGTTTCTCCTGGAGCTATGAAAGGTGGGCTTACAAATGATAACACCCCAGAGGGTAGTGACGGGACGAGCCTTCCCTCACACAATTCCCCCTTCACTGCCTCGATTCACACCTTACTAGCCCCCGGGTACTTGAGCTCTGGGGGACGAGGCCTCGGTTGGTCACGGGAGATGTGTGAGCGTGTCTGGCAAGACATAGTCCAGTGTCCAGGCCAGCAGCCCCCGGCACAGAGCGAAGGACTGACACCAGAGGGGACCTTGAACCCTTCTGAAATTGCTGGCCAGTGGGACTTCTCTGACCCTGCAACGAAGATCAGCTGCTCCTGCGCCAAGTATGTTTGTCTTTTGGTGTAATGTTCTTGGTTGTTCAGTTTGAGTCTGATGAAAGTAGGTAACTCAGCAAATTATTTTGAAACTTGCTTAATATGTATAATCTACTCTACTTTTTTTATTTCTTTATTTGATCCTTAAAATAATTATTTTTCATATTATATACTTTCATTTGAATTTTTATTATATAGGAAATGCAAATATATGTCTTTGATATATTAGAATATTATTGCATGACTTAGATGTAAAGTTACATGTATTTTCTGATATTTATGACACTTTCAAATTTCATTTAGATGAATGTATCACACTCTTCTCTGCATGACGCATGAAAGTAAATGCAGGATGTTATTATGATGCCTGATTTTATGTTGTTGTTTGTTTATAGACTTCATACTATGCAGCAGTACAGTGCAAATTGAGGAGTTGATAATGTGGGAAACAGATAATACGATACTTAAAGTTGCATTAACTTTGTTTTCTTATTTAGAATATTCTTTGTAGAGTAGTGGTATGAATATGTTAGTGGATAAAAGAAAAAAAAAAAGGCGTGAATTCTGAATATGGTAAAGGGTATATGTGAGATGTTAAGATGAGGTGACAAACAAACAGCACAATTCATACATTTTTTATCATTTATTTTTTATGATTTAAATTTTTCCAGAATAGAAAAATGTATTCATTTTAGGCAAGCTAAACATCTGGGGATTCCTTTTAGACATTCTTAAAATAAGAATAGTGGCCAATATCAGTGGGTTGTAGAACCATGGCTCGACTATATATTTTGCTGCATATTATTGATTCGTTTAGGTTAAGCCATGGTAAGGGAACTAGTGTCACAAATCGGCAAAATACACATTTGCCAGCCTTATCCCTTTTCCTTCCTTTTTGCTAGGAGGAAGGGGATGCAGGAATTTGTTAATGAAAATTACCTGTCTAGCACTTCTTAATTATTTTCCTTGACTATTTCCCGTGGTATCAGTTCATTTCTACTACATAACCGTAGGGGGGGAAATATGCCACTTAGGTTAATTCATAGTATTTTAAACTTTGTGATAATGACAGGCATAATTACAAGACAAAGGGGATCAGTCTTTGCAGTGAAAGGACATTTAGGTTATTGAATCCTCAGTTTTTTTGTTTGTTTGTTTTTAGTAATATTATATTCATACTTGATTTTTTTATTTTTTTATTTATTTTTATTTATTTTTTTGTTTATTACTATAATTATTTTTTGTGTATCTGGACATTGAGAGTACAGTGGCCATTTATTTATTGCAATTTTAATGCAGTAGTGTACATTGCACAAGTGTTATGATCTCTGCTGTGTATGGTACAAGAGAGAGCTGCTGATGCTTGATCTTCCAACCATTGGTCACCAGTGCTTGTTTTGAGTGTTTGTGGAACTGGCCGTTGCAGGTGCAGAAGGGGTCGGGTCAGTAGTAAAGGGTGTAGCAGCAGTAAGGGCCGCGGGGAGAGAGGTGGTGGGGGAGGCGGGCGCCAGAGGGGGGGCGGCAGCAGCAACTCCAACTCTGGCTGCATCCCCTTCCACAAGCGGTCTCCCCCAGCCCCACTACCCTCACCCGACGAAGTGGTCCTGGACCAGTGTGGCGTGACGGCCATCGAGGAGTCGGGACTAATGCAGGCCGTTGCCAGGTACCACTGCTAACTCTGTACCACCACCACCACCACCACTCACCACCACAGTCACTAAGCGAATTGAACACTGTACACCTTTCAAGTTTTTGATGCAGAACTCTATAGTACTCTTGATTAATTTTTGATTTTATATTTTATTCATTTTATTTTTTACCCTGTTTGTATATTTGTTGACACTCGCCTCCAAATAACAGATTGTCACATATGTGATGTACTTTTATCAATCTTGGCAGAAAAAAAATGTATATGGATGTGTATTTGTATATTTGTATATATATATATATTGTATAATATATATATTGTATAATATATATATTGTATAATATATATATTGTATAATATATATATTGTATAATATATATATTGTATAATATATATATTGTATAATATATATATTATATAATATATTATATATATATATAAATACACACACGCACACGCACACTCACACACATGCACACGCACACAAGCATATACACACACACAAGCATATACACACACACAAGCATATACACACACACAAGCATATACACACACACAAGCATACACACACACACACACACACACACACACACACACACACACACACACACACACACACACACACACACAATAATTGATAATAGATTCATCTGCCCCATTAGATTTGCTACATCGTTTCACAATTGGAAACCCTCTAAGAAGTAAAACCATATTCTTTCCCTTTCTTTTGTCTCCATTCAAAAAAGAGAGAAAACAATGGTGACGATGATGAAAATTATAGTCATCTTAATAGTACTATTGCTTGACAAGTTGTATTAAGGTCAAGCAAACATCTTAATCACAGTATTCAATACTTGTACCATGTTTATTGCACTTATCATTGGCTTGAACATCATCCAAATTTAGGGTAGCCTTTTTTCTTTTTTTACACTGATGACAGTAAATGTTAAAGTGCACTGGCAGAAGCACAGGTCACTTACACATAATTTTTCCAACAGATATTACAAACAGAAAAGTGCTTGCTATTTTCTAGTCAAACTTAGTTCATGTGACCAGATTTGGCAAACTTTGTAGCCACTCAAAAGATAATAATAGATAAATAGATTTTTTTTAAATATTGATTAAAAAAAGAAAAAGAAAAAGAAAAAAAAAAGGATTTTTGAAATTTGACTCAACTACCATCAAGTGCCAGAGAGCCTACTGCCTTATATTCGTCAATGATAAACCACTCTGGCTGCAGTATTTGCTTGATAAATTTTGATTTTATTTGTGTTCATACATATTTTGTTGCAAGCATACATTAGATTTTACAAAGTGGTTCATCTTAGATGTGTACAAATGTAAAAGGACAGACAGGTTCCGCTCCTGACACCATGATTTGTGGAAGGTTTGTTTATTGGCAACTGTTGCTTTATTTGGGATGCTTCAAGAATTTAGAGGTTTAGCAGATCACAAATGGCAGATAGGCTAACTTGTACTCCTCAGCTGTTTTATGACAAGTGCTGAGAAACTAAGAGTGATGGTGGTGAAATATTGATTTATTTGACTGTTAGTAACATACGAAGAAAATTGTACTGAGATTTAAAAAAAGAAAAAGAAATAAATAAAGAAAAATCTGTATCAACAGGTTTATATGACAGCACCCAAGAAAAGTTGATTACTTTTGTGTGTTAGATAATTATGGGTATTGGGACCCATAATATTTTTATTATCATTGCATGAGCTCTTCATTTTTAGGTGTCATAGATTTTAGAACCTTTTTTTAAATGTTTATTTTTGTGTGCCTTGCATCTTTAAATTGATATAAAAGTTTCAGCTGTAGTCTTCTAGTTCAGTTTCTTTCAGTTTCTGTTTTGTATGTAGCTTGTCTTTGATTTAGTTAAATTTACATTCCTTTACTTTACCAGTAATATAGCTGATTTGAGACCAGTGATGGCACCTGTAGATGTAGTATTTGCCATGTAATATATTCTGTCAGATGCATTACAATAAACCTCAAAATTGGGTTGGAGCTGTTTTTGTACCATACATATATCTTTAAAATGCTTTACACCTTGTATGTCTCTCTCACAGACTGGGTGGTGCTGCAACACCTAGTGGAGGCAATGGAGCTGGGAGTTTTGGAGGGTACAAGAGCGGTGGCGTGACAACCCCAGGTAGTGTACCCAGTCTCCGGCTGACTGGAGTTGCGGATGGCCCTCCTCCATCTGTAGAATCTCCAGCTTCTGCCCTTCCATCTCCACTCCCTACACCTCAGCCAGCCTCTGTGCCTCATCATGGTATGTATCCCACAGTCCCAACTAAATACTCAAAGTAGCAATGTTAGGAACTTGTGTCTTACAGGGATTTTTTTTTTTACTTCAAAAATGATTTTTAAATGTATTCCTCTACTTCTTTGCAGATCCCACCATGCCAACTTTGAGTCCCCATCCACCCCCATCCAATACATCAGTGGGTGATCCAACAACCCCTGCTGCTCTTGATTCATTGGATGTGAAACCAAATATTGCCGATTTGATGGGCCCCAAGTCCATATCATCTCTCAACAATCAGGTAAACACATGAAGTCTTGTTGCTTGTGGAGTGTTTTAAGAGGTGTGAACTTTTAAACCTTATGATGAATCTTTTTTCTGTTGGTTTTCAATTATATTTTGGAGACCTTGATTTTTTTAATCATGTGTTCTCTCAACAGGGCATGTCTCCTTATCCTGGAAGTGAGAGAGGCAATGGTGTGGAGTCAAATGAGACCAGCAGTAGCCTGGGAGGTGGGGGAAGTAATAGCAGCAGTCTGCCTAGGGGACTAAAGCGGCCATCCCTGCCAGGCACAGACTACCATTCTATACTAGAATTGGAAAAACCTAGTACCGTCCTCTATGACTACTCCAAATTAAATGCATGGTTAGTACTGGCATAAGGTACCTAGTGGTATGCACGTTGTTGCTTATTTGAAATTCTATTAACCAGTAACTCTCAAACAGCCGATACTTACCTAGTGGGTAAAAGTTGCATAGTCATTGGGACTGATGAACTTCCAATGTTTTCATATTCAACATTTTGTCATATTTCTATATTTCAGGTTGCATCATCCAGTGAAGAAATTTAAACCAGCTGAACCCAAAGCAGAGGAACCTCTGTGGCCACCATATAGACCTGCACATATCCAAGAACACATGGAAGTCATCCATCGTGCAGAACCAAGCCAAGAGGTAATATGACCCAAAATTTACAACATAGCCTATGAAATTGGTGTTTGGTACTGGCTAGAAATGTCATTAATTAGTTAGCATCTTTTTTTTTTCTTCTTCTTCTTCTTTCTTTTTTTTTCCCCTCATATTTTTCTTCTCATTTACCCTGAAATGTAGCTTATAGAGACAAGGGTAATGCATTTAACTTCTTACAGCCAAGCATGCCTATAGCTCTCATGAAAAAACAACTCATGGGTACGACTATAGGCGTCATGACTCACTAGAGTGAGTCGAGTGGGAAGTTCCACTACACGTAGCGGACTCCTTGGCAAAATGGCTGGATGGTTGCCAGAAGTCACCAGAGTGACATCCAGGGATTTCTGGTACCGTCATTGTAGGGTCAAGGAAAGTGAAGAGTTAACCAAATTGCTCTTGCAGATTCCTGAAGTGAATGGGTTACCTGCAAAGCGTCCTGGTGGCATAAAGAGACAGGCTGACCCATATGACTTCGATGATGACATAGGCACGGGCACTACCCCAGAAACATTCAAACGGAAAGATGGCTTTGATAAGGAGGAGACCAAGACCCCTGGGAGTGTCCGTTCTTCCCATGATCCTCAGTCCCCGCTGCAACCAAAGAGAACTGGAAATCTTTATACAAGTGAAGGGCTTCAAGCCTCACTATCAGATTTGGATGTCATGTTTGATTCTGATTCTCCAGTGGACGATGTGAGTATAGGCTTTGCTTTCTTTTGATTTTTTAGATATTTTTCACTTAAATGGCATTGATATTGAATTTTACAATAACAAGGCTCTTCCTATAGAATGATTGAAGTATTATTATTTTGAGAATAACTTTTATGTTCCCAGGTCGCATTCCCTGACCATACTCCACCTGGTTCTAACAAACCCCTGGGAGGTCCTGAGGATACAGCTGCAGTTTTGAACAACAAGAACAATGCTAGTGGTAACAAGACCAGTGTTAACACAAGCTTAGTGGAGTTGACAAAAATGTTTCCAACACCTCCCTCCCATGAGCATAACCCAGACCATGACACCACCATGGAGGATGCTGTGCCACAGGTCATTAGCATCAAACAGGAGCGAGTGGATGATCTTAGACCACTTCATTCACAGGAGCAGGCAAACCTGCCCGCTAAAGACGAACCGAAAGAAATGTTGGCTGTTTATCGGCCTCCCACTCTTTCAATGTTTGTTGGCTCCCGCAAGTATGCTCCACTAACTAACCTACCAAGTCAGGAGTATAAAACAATTGTGACACTTCCTCCTGATTGGGCTTACAAACCTTCATGGCAGTTCCCAGTTGCTGAGAAGCCCCACGGACCAGCTCCTACATTGGGCCACATGGGTCCTCTCCATGGAGGTCCTCCATCAACTGGACAAACACAGAAGGTGGGCTTGTCTCCCATCTCACCCATAACTTCAAGTTTGGGTGGGCCAGTGTCAGACAGTGGCCCAGGGTCTCAGCGTGGGCCAGGCAGTGTGGGAGGCCCAGCTTCTGCAGGACCACCCATGAATTATGAGCTACCATCCCCTGCATCCAACCAGTCATCTTACCTCAACAAGACACTGCCATCAGTAGAGCCACCAAGCATGGGGCTTAGCCAAGTACCTGAAGCAAATTCCCTTATTGTTAACATCGCTCTGCAGGACTCGAGCGTCAACTTGTTCAGAGATCACAACTTTGATTCGTGCACAATGTGTGTCTGCAATAACAACCAGAAAATTGTTGGAAATATCCGTGGAAAGGATGGAGCTCTATATTTACCACCTACCCATCTTAGTTTAGAAGAAGAAAGTGCAAGTTGCAGTTGTGGTTTCTCTGCAGTAGTTAATAGAAGGTTGGCCTTTCAGGCTGGATTATTTTATGAAGATGAAGTGGATCTTACTGGCCTCCATGAGGCTTTGGTCAATGAGCGTAAAAAGCAGTCTTTACTCATGCTGATGGACAATAAGAATGCAGACAATCCTGAACGTGATACCAGTATTCTAGATCAGATACCTCAGTCTATGTACCAGCTGTTACAAAGCCAGTGCTTAGTAACTTTAAGTACTCCCTCTAGTGTCATTTATAGATCAACAACAGTGTACCAAAATAATAGACGAGACATTATGCTGAACTTAGTGGATTATAAAGATGGTAATGAGATTGCAAGCTTGGCTGTAGAACAGTCACGAGGTGTTAATGTGGGTGAAGGTGAAGTGAACTCCTCTTCAACAAGACATCAGTGCATGCATAAGTGGTGCTACTACCAGTTCGATGGTCCCACATGTTCTAGGGACATAGTGCGTTGTATGAAGGCCCTCCAGCCTCACCTACAAGAGGCCATACAAAAGAAGGGAAGATGGGTGAACTTATTTAGTGTTGAAGGGCCCCTCACGTGGCGCCAGTTCCACCGTAAGGCTGTTAGAGGCAATGAGGATATTGCTGAACCATTGCCTATTCCTATGTTATTGACAGGCCATGACCGAGACTGGTTGTCCATAGCACCACAATCCCTTAGACACTGGGAAAAATTACTTCTTGAACCATACTCTCAGCAGAGGAATGTGGCATATGTTGTGGTTGCTCCTGATAATGAATTTATACTCAATCACGTGCGCACATTCTTCAAGGAGTTGTCATCTATATATGAGGTAAGTTTTATGTTTCGTGTTTTTATATGATGGTTGTGTACAAATTCAAATATACCAACCTATAACAGGAACTGGAAAGGCATAGTATAATAAGCAGGAGGCAAAAGAGATGCTAAGGCACTATTTTTTGAAGTTAAAACTAGAGTATAGGTAGAGAAAACAAGACAAAAGGGAATGTGTCAGTTATAGCAAATACTTTTTATGAGCTTGCAAGATTATATTGAAAATGCTAATGCAGGGAGTGGCACTTGTGCAGCATGAAAATACAAATTTTCTAAACATTGTTGAAAAGTGTTTATTCATTCACAAGCTATTGCTTTTTTGCAGACATACAGTACTGTCAGAGTGTTTATGTAAGGTTTTAAAAAGGTGAATGGTGTAATAATTTTTTTATGATTTTTTACACTAATTTGTATAACATTATTAATTGTGTCTTAGTACAGGCACACAAATAGGAAATGAGTTGTGTTGTTGTGTTTTTATTGCAAGGAGTATGAGATAGAATGGTTTAGAATTATTAGAGATGAGCAGTTGTGTAGGTTAAAGGTAAATTGTAGTAGTTGAATGACTTCAAAATTATTTGGAATTTTAAAAAAGAGCAAAGAGGATGGATCAACTTTTGTAAAAATATATTGGTCAGGTTCACTCTGTACTTCATTTTACAACAGAAGCATTTTTTTGTTTGTTTGTTCTTAACAAGGATTAGCTGATTATTGATCATTATTCACTATCTGTGCAAGAGTTTCTGCTTTGTATCTGTACTTGGCATAACCTGTTTTACTGTTCATTTAAAACATACAAAGTTGATTAGAGTGTACAGTAAGATAGCAATGAGTTCATATCAGTTCACATTCACAGTATAACTAGTTTAAAAATCAGATGTATGAATATCTATATATTTTATTACATCTTGGTATATACTTTTTTAATGAGAGTTTGGCATTTTCTTTATTTTAGGCTTTTAATTGATTACATGGAATGTTATATTGTAAGATTTTGGCCCTGCCCAGTCTCTCAATAGAGTCAGTTTGTACACAAATTTGTCAGAATTAATTGTTTGTTTACTAGGGTCTTTTGGTCATAATGTTAACTTTATTAAAGAATATGCATATATACTTTAATTCTGGAGTAAGCTGTATTTTGTCATATTACTGCCTTTAGTTACATATTATTAAACTTAGATCTTTTGTTGAAATTTTATGGGCATTTGTGAATAATTCTTTTGACGTATAAATTTATAACTTGTTTTAGAAAAGCCATGAAAACAAAAGGATTCATCAAATATTCAATAACTAGTTTTTTCATATAGAACATTTCTTGTGATAAATAGGTTCCTAGTGTTACCTTATTTTGTTTGTATAATTTTGTCCCTAACAAAAGACTTTTGCTGTTGTAGTTGTGCAAGCTTGGTCGTCATGCCCCTATACAACGAGTCCTGAGAAATGGCATAATGAGGATAAGCAAAACTGCAGCATCCAAAGTAGCAAATGAGCCATTGGAGGAATGGTTCTCCCTCTTGGGTGACTCCCATGTGTCCACCAACCTCAAAGTTTACGCACAGGTGAGTTGAGCATGTGTGGACGATTGTTTCGAGTAATCACACTTTCAGACTTGATTCCTTTACTAAAGTGATTATTTTAAATTGTTTGTTCTTCCTCTAAATGTCATATTTTTTCTCCCTCCAGGTTTGTCGGTACTGGTTGGCCCCACACCTAGCAATGCTTAGCATGGACAAGAGTCTCTTTGAAGCACCAGGACCCAACAGACCTGCAGAGAGGCAAGCTCCATCACCAATGCCTCCTCCATCATCAGAAAACATGGGGAGCACCAACCCCTCAACAACACCCACATCAAACTCAGAGCCGGAGTCCTTCTCCTCCTCTTCCTCATCTTCATCTTCGTCTTCGTCTTCATCGTCCTCCTCCTCCACATCCACCTCATCATCTTCTGCAACTTCTACCTCTGGCACAGTAAGTTAGCTTTTGTGTTCAGAAAGTACCACAAATATTGCCATTTCCAACAAATAGGGAAGATTATTGATTAGATTGTTGATATCAATACCTTGCCACCAGGAACATTTGATGTCCACTGTAGTTTTGTTTTGTGAATTGTCTTTACACATTGATGGCTCCACATGGGTCAGCCACTAAGGAGTCAATAAGTAGGCCTGTGTGACCTCACCTGATTTCCCCTTTCCCATAGTGTTAAAAAAACACAAAGCTATTGATATTGATACACACATTATTATTGACATGATACTTATTATAAAGTTGACAGTTCTAATAGCTATAAAAGATTAAAATATTATATTTCTGGATATCAAGAATAGGGTAAACAGGAGTGATAAGAGTGACAAGAGCCATCCATGTGTAAATGCAATTGATAATTAGTAGACATGTCATTCATGTACATACCATCCCCGTCAGCAGTGGATCAAGTTTTTATTGAGTGTTTGAAATTTACACGAGATATTTATCTTAGCAGCCAGGTAACATCCCTCTGGGTGCAAGCCTAAATGAAGTAGAGGAAGACGACTCCCCTCCTCCAGCCATTCTTGTCTACTTGGTGGACCCCTTCAATGTTGGGCAAGACCACCCTGACATGCACCGCTTGGTCACCTTAGGGTTGCTCCGCTGCTATGAACACATGCTGGAGGGGTTGACTGAGAGCATGCAGAATAATGTGTATCTCCAGGTGAGTTATTTATGATTAATTCTTCTGAATATATTTAATGTATGCAACATGGTATATAGTGTTCATAATAAAGTTGATTTTGATTATGTAACTCGCATGAGAATCAAACAAGTATGTGTAATCTAAGTACTTTGTGGTATATAGGAAAACAGGAGTTTGATCAAGTATTCCAAAATTTACTAAAAATTTAATAAAGATAATAATTTATCTTTTCCATTTGTCAGATTGTCTCATTGGAGAGTATACTGGAGTTGGCCAGTGACTCACATGACCGGTCCCACCACATAGACCAGCTCAAGAGTCTGGCCTTCTCAGTGTTCATGCAGTGCAGAAGAACTTTGACTCATAATGCAACAGTCAAGTCCCTAACAGGTTTTGGACCTGCTGCTGCTTATGATGATTTCCTCAAGCCTAAGGAAGCCAGTGTAAGTTTTCTGTTATCAGCTCATGATAAACAAAAAGTTACTGTCATTTTGCACATTTTCTGTCTTTACACCCAGGTATATGTAAACACAGCATATTTTTGCTTGATATAAATATTCATACATACAATTTTTCTCTTATAGCTTGCAGCAGAGGAAAAGAGGCAGGCTCCTTACCACATATTCTCCCCTGCATACATTGTTGCCCCCATCAAAGAGAGTCGTGGTACATATAAGGAGGCACAGGAGGCTCTCGGAGCTCCACGTGAAAAGTCAACCATCTTGAACTGCACCTACTGCCTGTCTGAAGATCAGAGGTGGCTCCTAGCAACAGCCACTGATGAATTAGGGGAAATTTTAGAGACTGTAACAATCAATATAGAAATTCCAAATAGGTAAGAATTAAAGTCATCAGTTGTTTATTGGATTATTAGTTTCATTTTAGTGTTAGTTTAAAAATGAGTTGTAATTTTATTATGAATTATTATGAGGTTGAAAATTTAAGGTTTGATGGAGAACATATTATTGACTATTGATCTGACTTACAGGACGAGAAGAAAGAAAGCTTCTGCTCGTCGTTATGGCTTGAAGAAATTGATGGATTGGATACTTAGTGTGATGTCTATTGGTGTACATCCCTGGCGCCTAGTCGTAGGTAGGCTTGGTAGAATGGGCCACGGAGAATTGAAAGGCTGGTCTTCCCTCCTGTCAAAGAAATCTCTCATACAGGCTAATAAGAACCTGAGAGAAATGTGTAAGCAGTGTGCATATCTGTTCCCTGGAGATGCCCCATGCATCCTATCTGCATGTCTGGTTGCTATTGAGCCAGATTCATCATTCAGGATGATGCCAGATATGTTTACACCAGATGAGAGATTTGGACAGAATAGCCAGAACTGTAGCCTGTCAACTCCACAAGATCTCACTTGTACACATATACTGGTCTTCCCAACTTCTGCTACTGCTCAGGTGAGTACTGTGACTAATAGATGTAAATGCCAGATTTTTTTTTTTCTCATGAATATTTGTAACATTTCATCTTCATGAAGTTGAGATATTCACATACTAACATCCTGGTGTTTTCTTTTTTACAGTCAGCACAGCAGAGATTCCAGGAGGAGACCACTTTCCACTTTGAGGGTAATGGGTTGTTATTAGATGACGAAGATCTAGAAAATGATATAGGTGGTAGTATAAGTGACATTGGCATGAGCATGGGACTCAACATCCAGGATATCCTTGGACTTGACACCGGGCCTAACCAGGATGACCAGTTAGAAGATGGAGGTGGACAAAGAGACTCCCTGTCCCAGCCTGGAAGTCCCACAGCTGGAGTTGGTGGTCGAACTAGTCCCTCACAGTTTTCTGGTCAAGCGCGTAGCAATGGTATAGTCCTGGTTGACCCTGAAGAGGATTCTGGCGGTTCAGTGTTACAACAGCCCTTGGCTCTTGGTTACTACGTCTCCACTGCATCCACGGGTCGGCTGCCGAGATGGTTCTGGTCGTCCTGCCCTCACCTTGAAACATCCTGCCCAGTGTTCCTTAAGTCAGCCCTCCATCTTCACTCACCTGGAATTACACAGTCTGAAGATTTGATCATGAACACTACAAATAACAAGGTCCACCCATTGGATTCTTCTATCACCACTGATGTCCTTAGGTAAGTAGCCAATTACTTTTCTCCTGAATGGTTTCCTGGTAAGGTGGTTCTTTAAAACAACAGAATGAGTTTAGGGAAATAGCAAGTTATTTTTAACCAGTAGCAAAAAGGATTGATGATGTTGCAAGATACTCCGGAATAGATATTAATGACATTAATGGCACTAATAGGAAATGTTAGTAATAATAAACGACATGAACATTTTAAACCGCAGGGTAGACCTACAGTAGTTAGAGTATAACACTGAATTAACAAACCCTTATCTTGTTTCAACAGATTTGTCCTGGAAGGGTACAATGGCCTCTCATGGCTAGTCCTGGATCCTGCCAAACAAGACAGAAGATCTTGCCTGCCATTACACATGCAAGTTCTGTCTCATCTGTACAATGTGATGGCAGCCCTTGTGTAACTACTGCTCTTCTGCAAACACCAAAAAAAAAAGAAAAAAAAAAGAAAAAAAAAAAAAGAAAAGAGAAAAAATATATAGACAAAAAAGCTTGGTATAATAGACCTGCCCTGGTGCAATTAATGGGCATTGTCTGAAACAACTTAATGATATTGTAATTAATTGCCCTTTGACAAAAATTCTGCTTGACTGTTAGATGTAGTAGTAGTTCTTATTTGTTTAAAGATTCTAAATGACCAAAAAATACTAGAATCTCTAAAGACAAATATCCTTTGTGCAGTATTTCTTGCCCAGGGCAATATGTCATTGAGTTCCAAGCTTAGTGAATTTTGTAGTGTAAAGACTGAAACATCATTGAAGAAAGGTTGAGGCTGTTGTATTCGGCCTGTGTCTAACCAAAGCATATTTTACTCAAGCGATAAGGAAGTAGAAAGTAATAATCAGTGCCTGGGTGGACATAGAGGTCAAAGCAGGACTTGTTACTGCCTGGCCTGCCAAAACAGAAAAGCTGTGAATATTACCAGATACCTAAATGACCAAAGTGTTTGGGAAATAGGGCTGTATGTCTAAGAGATGCATAATGATTCCTAATGCTCAAAGAAAGGTCTTACCTCACACAACTAGCATTATCTCAAAGATGACTGTAAATACTTAACTTATTATGGCCATAAGTCCACCACAATGCAATCAAAACAGTCCTGCCTTATGATAACATGGACAACCATAGAGAAATTAATGGGTGGATAAACTTTGAGGAGCACAAGAAAGGCATCATGGTGTAAAGAAATGCTCATTTCACAATGATTGTAAAATGGAATCACAAGTGTGAGTTAACGGCCAGAATAAATACATATGGGCCACTGGTATCGTGGGCTGGGCGCCGTAAACCAGTGCATTGTTAGTGACTAGTATCCAAGCAGGATTGTCTGTGATAATGAGTAACAGATTGAATGTACTTCGTAATTGGATATTTATGCCTTTTATTATTAACACTTGTTTCAGCACAGGTTGGTGCTGTTAATTTCAATAATGTAAATAGGCAGTGGTGTTGTACAAGCTGGGTGGGTTTGGCCTCTTCCACGCCCTGACTTGCTGTTTCCCAGAGGCTCTCAGAGTAGTAGTGTACAGTAATGTTGATTGTACACCTGTGTACATGTTGCCTCATGCACCTGAAGCCAAATTGTATATAAATAGTGTGTCAGGTGACTCCTAGATTTGGGGGTAAAGGCTCGGTAACAGCATCTCAGTGGCTTTCGGGGCCCCCTCCCTCTCCCCTCCCCGCCCCTCCCCCCACTGCTCTCATGTACAGACTCTAGGTTATGTGTACAGTGAGACACAAGTTTTACACCTCGTGACTGTTTATACAAGTTAAGTATTTTCCCCCTGATGCAGCCACCTCCAATCTTCATGCAAATGGAGGGGGTTGTGGTGTAAAATATTTCTGGCAGTAAATTCTATTGTTTATTTTGAGACTAACTATAAAAAACATAAAAATCAAGTAGCATCTAAGGGTAGATAGTTTAAAGAAAGTATTTTACAAATGGAACATTTGTACAAGGAGTGTATTTTAAAAAATGGTTAATAACCACAAGGGAAGATGGCAGAAACCTTCCAACGGCAAGTATCGGCTTCTCTCGTCCCTGGGCCTCAGAGTCTGGCAGTCAGGCAGCTATCTCTTCCCAGAGCCCTCGGCCATTGCTGTCTTTGCTGTCCGCCTCGCCGTAAACATGTTGTACTGAATCCCGCCAGAATGTCTTGGTACTGCAGTCCTCATATTTTGTCTCTCGCAGCATGACAAAACTTTGCGAGGAGTCCATCAGTTGAAGCATTGCAGTGACTATGGAACATTAGAGGAATGCAACATTTTTTTTGCGATGGTTAAGACACAAATTCACGCAGCCTACAATAATATGGGAGTCATGCCTAAGGGTGCCCAGGTGGGTCGAAAGGGATTGAGAATGAAGACAAACTTAATGCACTTTTATGCATTCTTCTGAGGTTGGGACAGCCTTACGCCAGCCAGGGTGTGTGTGGAGCAATCTATTTATGTGCGTCTCGTTATTTCTGACCTGCCTACCTGTCGACCTGTCTACTAAAATGGAGTGTGTGGAGATTTACAGTTGTGTTTACATTTTTAAGGAGTAGGGTTTTTACAGTGAAATTTTATATGTACTATTTTATTTCTGAACAACTTCTGACTCTATGCAGTATTTTAGACAAAAGAGTATTTGCTTGTGTATCATCAGGTAATGAAGTGACTCTGATACATGAAAGGCAAAGCTAACGTTGATTCTCAGTCCATTTAACAAAGGAAATTCTAATTAGTCATTATTTTTTACAAATCTTCTTTTGTATGGAAAATTACAAATTGACTCTGCAATAACCAAGTTGACTAGATGCAATCACATTTTTAGTATTTGAGATAAGATATGTATATTGTAGACAGATTACAGGTCTTAGGCTGCCATGGGGCTAGTGGCAGCTTCCCTCCTCTTCTTGCTCAACAGCTCTTCTGGTTTTACTCCTCTCTCTTTGCTCAACAACTGTCTGTCTGTCTGTCTGTCTCATATTACCGTTTTGTTTGAAGACTGACAAATCAAAAGAAGTCCTTGATAACAAGTAGTCTGATATTTTTACACAAAATGTTACTTAGACTGTTCATATTATATTGATCATTATTTTTGTTTATTGTTTGTAAATACTATGGAAATGCTTTTATCATCGGACGCCAGTCAGTTTTCTCTAGTTAAGTCAGTTCAAATTTGTCAGTGCCCCATTGCGTTACCTACTCTGCTACAGTGGCATGTGACCCAAGCCACAGAGCAGTGAGGAAAAAATGCCTTTATTATCTGTTGACTTTTTAAATTACGTTGTGCATGATTTTGTAGGTGATTAACACAGCCTCCTTGATAATTGTCAGATGTTTAATGCTGCTGCACAACTGTTATCTATTTATTTATTTATTTTTTTTTTTTTTTCTTATATCATTATTATTAGTTTTTTGTTTTTTTGGATGAACTCCCTCCACTCTTTTTTCCTGTGTATTGTTAGTTGTGGGTAGCTGCTCTGGCCAGAGTGCTGTATGAGTGGTGGTGCGAGAATGACAAGAGTGAAAGTTAGGGGGAGTGAGCTCCAACTCACCCCGCTGTCATTATTATCATTGGTATAAAATACAATTTTATGTGTATATAAGGTGTTTATCTTAACCCCCATATGGTTCGAGCTTTTCGTCTGAAACTGTTGCAGAGAATTTTCTAAGTGAAGCACGCAAACCTTAGGGCTTGTGTGATTCGTTCATGCTCAATATTGAATTATGAAAAGCTCTACATACACTAAAAATGGATCTGAAGCAAAGTTGGGTTTATTCCATTAGTTTAAAATCAAATAAACGACCATACAGCTTAGTATAGATTTACTAGTGCCTAATGTCAACGGACTTAGCTCATTCAGTAATCAACACTCGCATATTACAAATTAATAACTAGAAAGATCGCGTATATTGGCATATCCACAAAGGAAATATACATCCTGGAATGAAATGGAGTATCGTCAAGCCTAAGCAAACCTCACCCTTTTTTTTACACACTAACTGGAAAAAAATAACTGACTGCTGCTTTAACTGTTCCCAATTCATATATATTATCTTGTATATGAATATGTGCGGCAAGCAACGTAAGGAGAATACATTTATACAGGGAGGAACTTGTATCTTAAATCTGGTAAAACCTTTAGTAAATTTAAGAAATTTGAGAACAAGATGATGAATGTCAATCACAAAACACCATTATCATAAGAAAACCATTTGTTGAATTCCGCTAGAATAGAGGCGTAATTGTAAAAGTATGACAACCTTTCTAATAAATTCATTTGTGACCTAAACGGAATTTGATTGTGAAATATGCAAGTTAAAAATTCACACTCGACGAAACTAATAATTCTTTACCCAGTACACGATTGTATTTCGTAGAACTTGAACTTGATCTTCCAAGATTCCTGTCTTGTTGAAAACCCATAAATGAAATAACAAACAAAAACATATAGTATGGATCGATAAACAATAAACTATTCGTTGTGATTAAATGTCGAGAAAAAATACTGATCAGAGTTTTCGAGTTAGGGAAAATGTCAGTTGTCGATATACAAAGTACATTGGAACCTAACATTTTAGCTGATGGTCGACTACCGTTATTCCATGGCACCTAGAAGGTAGGAACTAATTATCATGTCAAAGGGATTTAAATATAGGAGTTTAAATATATTTTGCTTCCTTCTGCTGTAATACTGCATATCTTGCTTTTAATGCGATCAGCAAAATAAAATGCTTCTTCATCAGCAAACATGTTTATTTACATACAATTTATAAAAAAACTAATGTGTCCGGCACATACAACAACAAATTGTAAAAAAATATAATAAGGAACAAACCGACATCTTATTGCGCATTAAATATACTTATAAATATTCCTCTCCCGAAGCGAGGACAAGGAGACTATCTCGTATATACGGAACGCTGAAGTAGCAACAGCTGACTTGAGTCCTCGTCGCTGTGCAGAATATATGGTTGGCGGTGGGGATGAGATGGGAATGTCTTGTAGGTTAGGCGGAGGAGCCAGGATGAGGTAGGTAGGGGAACGGGGAAACTGGGTCGTTCTGGTATTGGCAAAACAGCAGTAGTACTATCATTACACGATGATTAAACGCCGTGTCCCGTGCGAGTGTAGGGGAGTGGTGGGGCCACTGGGAGTACTGCCCCCTGGGGTTGGTATCCTCCATGGTCAGCCACGAAGGAGATGTCCACTTGTTCCCCCTCGGGAGATGTGTAGCTGAAAATAAGGCAATTGTCTCTTAGTCAGGTATTTATGGCACAATGTCAGCTGTATGAACTACGACTGTAGACTACAGAAAATACGACTTCCGATTTGTGATGAAAGATGGAAAAGAGGCGAGGTGATTATACTGCACAACTATGTTATAGAAAGACTGACATTAGATAAAGTTTACTATAATTTTGAACGCCAGACGAAAGAGAGAACACTAAAAAGTTGCGAAAAGTTTACTTTGCCAAACTGCAGAAACATGGAACAATTTCCAAAATAATGCAGTGAGCCAAAATGTGCATCAGTGTATTAGTGTACACATACACACACACACATACCAAAATTCACTCTCTTTCATTGTACATGCCCACTGAAATTCTCCAAGAACAAAATTTGAATGTTGATCCACTCACGTCCAGCCGCCCTGGGAGACTTGGCCGTCATTCTGACTGCCGGCCTCCTGTCGTGCGATCCCATTCCCTGACTGGAAATCAAAAGTATATTCTCCGTAGCTGTTCTGCGTTCTGTCGTCCTTCAGGATGGGAATGTGCGGGGCGTATTCGGGGGGAGGAGCTGGGTAACCAGTGTCCGCTGCCACTCTGCCCGCCATCGGAGCCGACACCAAAAAGATCTGGGGGGAGATGTGAATATGATATGAATGGAAGCCTGTCTGTCCTAACATTGGCAATGTCTTTTATTGTGCGTGTCTCGATACCGCGCTCTTTCTAGTCAACGTCAGGAAAGGTTCTTATTTTAAATATTTTAGGAAATATCTGTGACACACATTTTGGCATTTAAAAATCGAATCTGGTCCAAAACCCTCACGAGTAGTAAAATAAAATAAAAAATCCATGCATAACGTAACATTGAAGTTCACCAACAATGCAAAGT